TATCCGGCTTTGTTAGGGCGTCCGGTTGAAAAACCTGGACGATCCTGTGGATGAAGATGTACGCGATGCGCTCCAAGTCCCGGTGGTCTTCCTCAATCAAATCGGAGAAGTCGTGGTAGTGTTCTGGGACGCCACTGGTTCCCAACAAGTCGTCATCGGAGCTCGTTAACGAGTCTCCGGCCTCCGCCTTGCGGGCTCCTTTCTTCGCGCTCGCGTTTGCTGCATGCGCCTTCTTCTTGTCCTTTTCGGTGTCCTTGACATCCGCAGAGGTCGAAGCCTTTCCTTCTCTCTCCGGCGTGCCTCCGTCTTTCGGCATCGCCTTTGGCGTGGCCCCCGTGCCGGGAGTCAGCTGCTGATCTCCCTGCTTCGGGGCGGACGAAGAAGGTGTAGAGGCATCACCTCTCCCGTCCTTTCGCACCCAAGTTCCTGCTGGTGTGCGACTTCTTCCCTTCACTGGCGTTCTTGAGGGGTCGAAGAAACCCTTCCATTGCTTGACGACGTAGGCCTCCATCTCCTCAAGGATTTCCTTTGTCGTCACTCTCGACATGTCTGCATCTTGTGCAGCCTTGGCATGTTTTATGCCAATTGACTGTTCTCGACACGTCCAAATATCCAGCACAGATGCCATAGACATTCTCTAGTACGACTTGCACAAGGTGTCTCATGGCTACACTCCTGTGCTTTCCCCCGGTGCACAAGAAAAGGATGATGATCTTGTCACCATCTTTCGATCGTCGGATAATCCGATCGATCTGCTTTGCAATTTCTTCCCAAAGGGATAGAAAAGTCTTGCTGTAGACGGTGTGGTGCAGGTTCTCCGGGTACGTCCCGATATGATCCCGGTAATTCTTCGGGTCTGGGATGTCCCTTACATCCAAGATCACAAGGTGATCGTCCGATTTCACTTCCTCTGTGATAATCGGGTAGTTCTTCCTCAAACTTCTCTTCACCAATTCAAGATTCTTCGGAAGTGCGACCGAAAATCGGTTCGCGTGGATTCTGTCCACCGCGTCGGTGAGTTCCTTACTCACTTTGGAACTTTCCGCGCCTACGTCTAGCGTCCACACTCCTGCCGACATCAAAACGATGTTCGGCTTTGTATCGGCTATCATGTAGGCTCTCTGAACCGGTGAGGCGCTCCTCAAGGCCATAACGGTCCTTGAAGGTGACTGGTGTCCGACCTTTGGCAGGTTCGGATACTCTTCCAGTCTGAACTCCTGATGTCCTTCGGCCAAGTCCTTCTCGAACTGGTCGATTCGGATCATCAGTAGTCCGGTTCGGCTGTTCTTGAACAACCTCAAGCTTTGACCTGGGTAGTCGGCTAGTTGAACTAGTCCGGCTCTCACGTCCTTCCTTAGGCCTAGCTTCTGCTGCACTTGCAACGAGAGAAGGAGCGGAAAGTCTTGCCCCCCAATCTCATTGCTTGCCACGCTGCCATTCCAAGACAGCTGAGATGGCTCCATCGCCAGAGCGATTGGAAACACCAATCTCTGCGTGGCCTCTGCACCTCCGATTCCACGGTAGGTGCCCACGGTAAGTGGTGCAGCTTTCGCTCGGAAGCCAAGCTTCTCGAGCTTCTTTTCTGCGTCTATACGCCATTTCTCCCCGTGACAGGTGGAGTTGCAACCTTCATCGAGCATGGCGTAGACATGGTCGTCCCTAAGGGGATCGACCTCCTCGAGCTGCTCCAACACAGGCTCGGGCGTTTCCACCGCCATAAAGGCGTGCGGTGGATATCCTGGAGGACTGCCCCTCTCAGGAAGCTGAGGCGCTGTCGGCCTCTGCGGGGTCCTAGGCGGCGTCCTAGGGGCCAAAACGGCTGCGGCGGCAGAGGCGTGAGCGGGAGTTCCTGGAGGACTTCTTCCTACGGGATTTAGGGCCTGTGCTTGGAGATCCCTCCTAGCGAAACCTGAGCTACTACTAGCCGTCCCTAAAACTTGCTGAGTGGCTTGGCTTGCTACTACAAAATCAACAGAGTCACTCAACATGCTCAGAAGTTCCTGCGAGGAAGTGCTCTCTACTCTCGTGAGGTATCTATTCATGTTCTTCACAAAATGCTTGATTACCTCGCCTGCCTCCATCTGCGTAAGAGGTGTGTCCTGAAGCGTACGACGGGTGAGGTCCTGAGCCTTCAGGGGTGCCTGTTGCGCGGCTCTCCCTAGCTCAACCTGTTGCTTGTGGAGCGCCTGCGGCATCTCCTCAACAAAAGTACAACAGTCCAAACACCAGACCTTGTGCACGGCCTTGGTGGAACCTCTGTTGTCCGTGCGGCTGTGAGGACAAGTCGTCGCATCCCTCGTGGGCTGCGCTTGTGGCCGTGGCTCTGACCATCGGTCGCCACAAATCATGCAAGTGGTCTTGATGACCTTGTCATTTGACCCTGCCTTACTAATGGCATGAGCCGGGCATCCGCCTTGGCACGGTCCACGAGGATCCGGCTTCAGGTTGGCGAGCTTTGACTTGTTCACCTTTCCACCGATGCCTTGTGACAGCATCCAGGCCTTAACAGACTCGAGGTCTCGCGCCTCATAACCTGAAAGAGGGTATTCCCTTCTTTCGGCCTTTCCACGTGGGAACACGTAGTACATGTTACACCACACAAGGAACTCCTCCAGCGTTCGGCTGGGGTTCTTTTCCTTGATGCCCCACGTGAAATAGTCAGGGTGTCTCAAAACGACATCCCCGAAGGTGGAACCTCGGTGAACTCCGAACCCAAAAACGGTGTCCGAACCCTCAGGCGGTGCTTCTAGCAGCTCAAACGACCCATCTGCTTCTTCGAGCTCTTCTTCTTCCTCCGCAAAGTCTCCGGGGTTGAAGAAGCCCGGGTAACCCTCGGGATGCTCGTGGTCGTCATCCAGCGCCAGAAACATCTGAGGCTTATGCAGTACCTCTGACCCTTCGCTCTCCGAAGATGAGCAACAAAACGAGGTCTGCACGGGCGCGTCTTTTGTCAAGATCGCGGAGAAATGCGCAGTTCTATCCTTGGTGCCTTGCGTGCTGCTGCCTCCTGAAGATGGCTTGCCTTTGCAATCTCGGTCACCAGCCCAATGCCCTTTCTTCCCGCACGTGCGACAAACGCTACGTGCCTTGATCTCCTTGAGCTTCGCTTTGCGGTCTTCAATACTCAAACCGCTGGGCTTGGGCCTGTAGCCGTGGGCATGCTTTCCCATCGGCTTTCCTTTGCCTTTCGCTTTGGAGCGAGCAAAGAAAGCACAAACCTCAGCCTGACAAGCTGAAGCAAGGAAAGCAATACACTCATCATCATCCAGACTAAAGTCTGGTGTCGAAAGGAATGCTTCCACAACATCCAGCTCTATCTTCTCGGCTGTTGCCTCTCCAAGGGAATCAGCCATGAAGGCTGAACTGTCCTGGTTATCAGGTACCAGCTCTTCTTCCTCTGCCTCGGGATCCCAAAAGGATTCCCCGGCGTCGTAGGAGTCGAAGAGGTCCTCAGGCTCTGCCAGATAGGCTGCCCCATGGTGAGTCTGGGCATTCGCCTTTCCTTTGCCAGAACTCTTTGTTCCCTTGTAGGCCATGCCTCTGGGGCGGTTGTAGTTGCTTGCACCCTTGCCCGAACTTCGGGACTCCAGAACATGCAATTTCCCATGTTGAGTAATGAGGGCTTTCTCGATCGCATCAAAAGAAGACGTTTCCCCGACAGCTGTAAGCACCATTAGTCGCTCCTTGCGATCTAATCCAGAGTTGTCGAGTAAAAGATCTCCAAGGATGGTATCGGATATTTCTATCGTCTTGTCCAACTCCTTCAACTTTCTGTACCATCTCTTTCTTCGCCCGATATAGGAGGTCATAGACTCTCCTGCTTGTCTTGACATCACACCACCAACGCTGGCCCCGACTCGGTAAAGTTCCTTTGCCTCTTGGGCCTGCAAAGGAAAAATCACCTTACGCACAGCGTCGATGATCTGCGTGATCGCGTCGGCGCTCTTCAGTACATCGTGCCCCAAGTCCTGGGCAACAATGTAAGCGTCCCCTCGAAGGGACTCCAGCTATTTTGCACCAAGTGTAAACCTTTCATCCGCCTTCGTAGCGTGGTACTTCGCCATCGCCCGAAATTCCCACTCATAGTAGTCCGAAACGGATCCACTATACACCAAGAAACCTTGCTTTGTCAGCTCGGGCTCCTGGTTGCTCCGAGGATTGAAACGCAAACCTCCGCCAGTGGCCATGGCGACACACGCTGGCGGCTATCGCCTCTAGGGCGAACGAAAAAGGTGAAAAGAGCACTGGCCCCTGAAGGGCACTGGCTCCGCTACCAGTGTGAAAACTGGCCGTTTTCCCGTCTGAGCCTTGGCTCCAAAAAGGGGCCCCTGCGGTGAGTCGGTGCTGTCAAAACTGGTCGGCAAACAGACTCTGACTGTACATGAGTGCTGTAGCTTTTACCTAACAGGCTTCGTACGCGCTGGTCTACAAGGACTATTTCACAATGGGAGTTTCCAAGAATAGGGTTACCCTTTTTGGGGTCCCTTTAAGGGGATTCTATTCTTTTGGGGGTATGCAAGGGGTACCCCTATTTCGGGAAATGCCCATATGTGAAAGCAAGTCCTTCTCCAACGCTGGAACCCTAAACCCGTAATTCTAAACTCCAGACCCTGGACCCTGTAGCTTAGGTTGCCCAGTAACCGAAGACTAAACCCTAAACCCTAAACCCTAAACCCTAAACCCTAAACAGGGTGCCCCCTTCATTTGCTTAAAGCCCTTCACAAGGGGGACCCCTTATGTACCCCTTACATGCCCTATAGTAAGGGACCACATCAAGGGCCCATGAAACGACCCTTAGATGGTAGCCCTAAACCCTAAACCCTAAACCCTAAAACCCTAAAACCCTAAAACCCTAAACCCCTAAACCCCTAAAACCCTAAACCCTAAACCCCCAAACCCCTAAACCCTAAACCCTAAACCCCTAAACCCCAAACCCTAAACTCTAAACCCTTAGATAGTAGCCCAGGCCAAGCTCCCAGGAGTTGTCACAGCCGAGGCTC